GAGAGAGAAGAGAGAGAGAGAGAGAGAGAGAGAGAGAGAGAGAGAGAGAGAGAGAGAGAGAGAGAGAGAGAGAGAGAGAGAGTGTCACAGGCACACACTGAAGTATTATTCTGATGAACATTTTTCCCCATGTTAGTTTAGTCACAGGTTTGAAAAAATATTGCTGTACAGCAATGAAAGCTGGGATTATTGAGGATCAGGTCAGGTGAGTTAAGTTAATGAGGAGCTTAATTCAGATAACATTCTTATATGGCGATCATGTGATAATTTGATCTTTAAGTGACTTTGAGACTTTTCCATGACCTCTTTTCTAAACAATCTGACTTTTGTACCCAATTGACAGATGCTAAAAAACAAACCAAAAATGGCACACACTTTAAAAAAATTATTCCATTAAATTCACCCTAAAATGTCCGTTCAGGATGGCTGCATAATTCAACTTATATAACATTATATTTCATTAATTGATATAATGTTACTATACCCATCTTGGATTAACAAAATCAGCTTTTTTTCTTAAAATGTACTGATTACCACCATGCAAATAATAGGTGGCAAAACAGAAAGTTGATGAATCAGAGTTCAAGGTAAAACATGGCCGAGTTTCATATAGATGCACAGGGTCATACAAACAAAGACAAAACACCATCACATGACACTAAAATAATGGAATAATTAAAGGGGCTATATAATAGGCATATAAGAATTTCCGTATTAATCGCTTTTTATTGCCAATAAGTGAACAGTTTGTAACAAAACTTTAAAAACAAGACCTTTCTCGACTTCAAAGCCTGTAGAATGTGTACATTTTGTCATCATTTACTCACCCTCAAGTTGTTCCAAACCTGTATGAGATTCACAAAAGAAGATATTCTGAAGAATATTAGTTGACGGTCGCCATAGTTTTTTATTTATGGAAGTCAATGGGTGCCGACAATTGTGGTTACCAACATTCTTCAAAATATCTTCTTTTGTGTTCGACAGAAAAAAAGAGACTCAAACAGGTTTGGAACAACTTGAGGGTGAGTAAATGATGACAAAATTGTCATGTTTTGGTGAACTATCCCTTTAATGTAAGGGCCGTTCCACACTAAATACATAAGCGTAAAAAAGCATAATAAGTAAGTGGCGCGTGAGCAGCGTGTGTCTATTGTGCTTTCACACTGGCAGCATTTCTAGTGTACAAGATGCTCTGAATCAATCACTAAATCTCTAAACTGTGAAACAGGAGTTTCTCCACACCGCAGTTTTTATCCTCGGCATGAGAAACAATTGGATTCTAACCGATTCAAGTTAGATTAGCCCTTTTGTAAAGATATTTTTTATTTTACCATTCATTAAATTGAATTAGTTGTTATTTTAGGCTAAACAGATGTGAATTGCGTGAAGTGTCTCACCTCTCTCACACAGCAAAAGAAAACCAAATGCTTCTTTGGCACCATGAAAGCCACAACACAGTGTTAGGAACGACAAATTGTTGTCAGAGTGTGTGTGTGAGAGAGGAAAGAATGGAGAAAGAAAGGAGATAAACATTGAAGTAATTAGGTGTTAGACATTATCTGAGTGGAATATTGATATGTCTTTCTTATGGCCTGGTGTAAGATCAAAACTACTTCACTTCAATGTATTCTTAAACACTAGAAATGTCATATTTTGTTAAAATTTTGCATTTGAAACAATATAGACTGCTCTACTCTCACATAATCAGTTTTAATCAGTAACTTTCTTTCAGATGTGAGTCCAGAGTTCAAACTGCTCCTTTAAAGATCAATGAATCAGTTTGAATTGATATTGAACTGTGTATTTGTCATTAATTCATGAGAAAGCTAGATAAGGAACACTGACAGATTGATAAAATACTCAGGTAATATACTCAGGTGTTTGTAATAGACATTAACTCCAAACATCTTTCTGCCAGACATGATAAGCAAAAACTAACATAATGATAAGCTTTAGAATCATTGATCAGGTTTATTTAAACTCTGATAAAGGATGATTGCTATCAGATTCGTCAGGCAGATACATGGAAAAACTATTTGAAGCATGTCTGAAAAATGCTTTGAATAATACTGTCTCAAAAGCATCTGTTATATGCCTTGCTTTTGGCTTAGACAGAAATAGGGGTTCAAAAAAAGAATATTATAGTGTGTCACCATATATGCTTTTGTAAGTTTCGTCCTGGTTTCATCATCATATGTTTCTGGCTGTAAATCTCCAAAGCTCACATACCACCGAGATTTATCAACAACTCTGAGCTAAAACATCCCCATAAATACGGCCATTACAGCAGGAGCCAGGGACGGACTGGGACTAAAAAACGGCCCTGGACTTTGACTAGGCCCGGCCCAAAGCAATCGGCGCGCGGAAACTCGACAACAACAACAATAACGCCTGCTGCCTGGCATGAGTGTCACAAGACTTTAATTGTGGCTCATAATACTATACCTAGCTAACAGCAAATTATACAATTTATTCCATGCTGTCTTAAAATGAATTTATTACTTAATAATCTTAATTAATTTATGCAGTAATTAATCTTAGCTACTGCACAAATAATAATACCACATCTAAATGAAAATAGGCTACACCATTACAAATGTAACTTCTGTATTCAAAATCTTCAAAGTTTGTAAGCATTAACTGTAACGTTACCAACATTTTTAAAAGTAAAAGCACAACATATTTCTTAATATTAGCTACTGCATGTGGCATTTTACAGCTAAAATGTTGAAGTTTAGCTGTTTTAACTACTGTAATCATTAAAAATGTAGCAAGCTGAATATCACTTCCTAACATCATCCCTAGCAAGTAACTTGCAAAGTAATTTCTGATTAATTCGGTTCGTCAGTAGCATACCTGTCAAGTTTTAGATTTGAAAATAAGGGAAATTTTCCGCCGCCCACCGCGAGCAGTCCCACCACCCCAACCAAGCTCCAGTATCCCTTACATTTTAAGACAGGTGTTATAGCCTAAATGAAAACACACACACACACACATATATATATATATGTGTGTGTGTGTGTGTGTGTGTGTGTGTGTGTGTTTTTTCATTTAGGCTATAACACCTGTCTTAATAGGCCTATGTATGGTAACGTTATAGGGTATTAAGAGCATTTATTTAAAGGATTATTTGCATATTTTCTGTTCATTTAACATTGCTTGTCTTTACATTTACATTTTATTTTCATTCCACACATTTTCATTTCATATTGCTTTTCTTTTACAGTTTTTCTTTTCATTTGCAGTTTTTCTTTTCATTTCACATAACTTTTCTTTACTCTTTTAGTGAGTTATTGAAAAAAAAATTGTTGCAGACTTTGTAATTACCTGTTTTGGAAGGAGTGTATTTGTGGGCTGGGCCAGAGTGGTTAATTTTACATGAGAGTAGAGCAAACAGTTCTGTTGTCTAACGTCATCCTATTCTGTGTAACAATCTTTCGTACCATGCTAAATCACCCTTTCTCGTGTTGACATACATCATTCCTTCCCCGTGTGAGATACTAAAGTCGCAGTTACAAAACTTACAAAACGCGTGACTGTCCCCTACCCTGCTCCTCTTCAGAAAAGTAAATTCGCTATCCCATTGATCGATCGCGGTATTTAGTACATGAGGGTTTTGTTTTTTTGGCAAGAGTACCTTGCTCTGTCATGGCGTCCATCATCCGTCTCTGTTTTTTTTTTTTTTTTTTTTTTCCCGCGTTGTCACTCATCATCTGACCTCACACACTAACATCGCGACAACTGCCACCTACAGTACCTGGAACGTTAGTTATCGCGAGGCTAGTGACAGCTCAGATTGGATTTTTTTTTTTTTTTTTTTTTTTTACTCCGCCCGCGGTATTATTATTTTTCAATAATGCAAAAATACGGGAGATTTACGGGAAAATCCTAATACGGGAGGACGGCGGGAAAGAAGGGTTAAATACGGGACTTTCCCGGCCAAAACGGGATACTTGACAGGTATGCAGTAGTAGAGATAAAAGCCCGCCCGCACTTGATTGGTTGGGTCCTTACATGCGCTTCGTGAGGCACACGCGCACACTAGCACACACACGCAAGGTCTCTAGCTCGCTCCCTCTTTCTGCCGTGCGCGCGCTACGCATGCGCAATCTTATTCGCTCTAGATTCCGAGAGATTTTAACTAATTTGCGGGCATCAGTGAGCCGCTATAAATATGCGGGGAACTTCCGGGAGACTTGGGATGTCTGTGACTGCGTGTGTGGCGGGTGGTGGGCCGGCCCACCGGCCGTCCTGGAGTACCGGCCGTTCTGTGATTCTCCAGATCACACAGATGGCCAGTCCGCCCCTGGCAGGAGCATGTCATTGCTTTGGCCTATGGCTTTCAACCCGTCCTTGGCCAGCGTTTTCTCATAACAGATTTCTCATTTATCATAAATACACATGCACAGGCTTTCTGCCCATTTTCAGGTTACAAATCACCAAACTTAACATTTTCACAAGTTGAATGTCCTCTTATATTTGTTTGAGATTAATAATTCAGTCCGGCTCCCACTTCATCACCAAATGGCTTTATGATGTATGTGGCAGAAATCACATTCATTTGAGGAGTCACTGCTATAAATCTATTAGTTTAACAACACAAGCATCTATTTCTAAATTTCTTGCACCAGAATCCCAGATCGCTAAAAAAAAAAAAAAAGTGAAAAACATTTAAATGTGACCATTTTTTTATTTGGACATTTTAAATCACCTTAGCAAAAAAGTTTTGACTTTGAACCTAAGCATTTTAACACTCGTTTCACTTCCTCTCTAATATTCCAGAGACATGCCTACATATTCATACATTTAAAATAAATGAAAGGAAATTAATTTAGGTGAGGAAGACACTGTAATCCCAGTATCCCACCTTTTTTCTGAAATATTCCTTCCAATCCAATAAGGAACGTTTCGTTAAGAAAAACACATCTTCCCATTGGTCGGAAGGTATGAGGTTTCAAGGCGCCCCGCGGAGAGGTGCTAGTGGCCTTGAATGAAGGGCCGGTTGAAACCGTTTTATCATTACTGTGTGGAGCAATGTGGAGTCAGCGTATCAACTTTACAGAGATAGAGCTGCAGATTCAGCAGGAGTGGCGGAGAAAGTTTCTTACATTGTTTTAAGGGAGAGGAGGGCCGAGCGTAAAAGGAGGCAGATGTTTGGGAATTCTGATGATGAAATATGTGGATGAGTCTCGAAAAAGGGGTCATGAATACCTGAACGCAAGACTGGAGGATAGTTTGTGACTCGCCTTGTACGAGTGATCGGTCACGTCTGGAGGAATATCACATTGTTGCACAAGTTTCGCGGAACACCTCAATCCCAGTAAGTTTACATTTGCTTGTGTTCGGTTTCCATGCGATAATAGATTAAGATTGAGTCTCTTTTTAGTGCTTTATCTGTGTAGATATATATCTTACGACTTAGTCTTAGTCAGTGAAACATTCCTTTGTTTAAAAAGTTTCCCCAAAACTTGTTTTCACACTTTTTCATTAAACTTATTACTACTATACGTTTTATGTTTGGTATTATTTTATTGCTCCTAAGAAATCCAATGGTGGACTTTTTTAATGGTTAATTTTAATTGTTCGTTAGAGACACTTATTCCAGTATTGAATAGTGTTTATCTAATTATTCAATAATAATCACGGCATACTAGTAGTTTTTAATTTGCTACTGGAACCCCATACTGACGTTGTAACTTTTCCCATTGTTACTGGTAACAAATTGCAGATTTTGCTACTGAATTCTAGGGGGTGGTCTTTAATGTAACTAGTAGCCTAACTTTTTTTCTCACTAGTTACACTAGCTCAGTAGTTAGTTGTTTGTAATGACTAGTCAGAATGGCTACTTTTTTTTATAGATACAATAACACATTTTACTAGTAAGAGATGGGTGTTACTCATGTTGTTACTAGAAATGTAGTACTCTGAGAAAACTGAGACTAGATACTAGTAAATTTGAATTGTTAAGCATTAAATACTAAGTACTAGTACAACCTAATGAATAGTTAATAGTAAAGTTAAAATGGGTACTAGCAACAAAATAAGGCATTGTAGTCAGAAGTGAATAGTTGCAATGTAAACCCCCTCAGAAGTTCCAATCCATTTGCTTCCAGTAACAATGTAGAGTAGTTTATGCTATTTGGATAACAATGAACTGAATAGATAATTTAGAAAAGTGTGCATATTCAATGATTTGTTACTAGTGACATTGATAGTAGTCACTATTGGATTTCTTAATAACAGTTAAAATAAGTACTAGAAACTTAAAAATAGGTACTAATTATTTGTGAAGAATAAATGTTAAAATGGTTTTCCATATTTCGGTGTTTTCCAGACGACAATCATGGCGGTACGCAACATGTTCATCACAACACTTCTGCTTGGACTGTGTTCAGCCCAGTATCAGGGAGAGAAGGGTATTTCCACCCCAGATCACGGGTTCTGCCAGCCCATATCTATCCCCCTGTGCACAGACATTCAGTATAACCAAACTATCATGCCAAACCTCCTGGGACACACCAACCAGGAGGATGCAGGACTGGAGGTGCACCAGTTCTACCCCCTGGTCAAAGTTCAATGTTCTCAAGATTTGAAGTTTTTCCTCTGTTCCATGTACGCGCCAGTGTGTACAGTTCTAGAACAGGCAATTCCACCCTGTCGTTCCTTGTGTGAGCGTGCAAGACAAGGATGCGAGGCCCTCATGAACAAGTTCGGCTTCCAGTGGCCCGAACGACTCCGTTGTGAGAACTTTCCCGTGCATGGAGCCGGAGAGATCTGTGTGGGACAGAACAAATCAGACCCCGACATCCCGACGACAGACCCCACGCCACATATACCAGACCCTTTCACTCCACGCCTGCATTTTCCACGCCAAAGTCAGGCTTTCTCTTGCCCACTTCAACTCACAGTCCCTACCTACCTCAATTACCAGTTTTTGGGGGCGAAAAACTGTGGCGCCCCTTGCGAGCACAAACAACCCTATGGGCTGATGTACTTCAAGGAGGAAGAGGTCCGATTCGGTCGGCTCTGGGTGGGAATCTGGTCTATCCTGTGCTGTGTGAGTACCCTGTTCACGGTCCTCACTTACCTTGTGGATATGCGCCGGTTCCGTTACCCGGAACGCCCCATCATCTTCCTCTCTGGGTGTTACTTTATGGTGGCAGTGGCTTATGCAGCCGGGTTTTTGCTGGAGGACAAGGTGGTCTGCATTGACAAGTTCAAGGATGATGCTTATAGGACTGTGGCACAAGGAACTAAAAAGGAGGGCTGCACCATTCTCTTCATGATCCTGTATTTCTTTGGCATGGCCAGTTCAATCTGGTGGGTGATCCTGTCTCTCACCTGGTTCCTTTCTGCTGGAATGAAATGGGGCCACGAAGCTATCGAAGCCAACTCTCAATATTTCCACCTGGCAGCATGGGCCGTCCCCGCTGTGAAGACCATCACTATCCTCGCCTTGGGACAAGTGGATGGTGACCTGCTGACCGGCGTATGTTACGTGGGCATCTACAACATTGACGCCCTACGTGGATTCGTCCTCGCCCCGCTCTTCGTTTACCTCTTCATCGGAACGTCTTTCCTTCTAGCTGGATTTGTCTCGCTGTTCCGCATCCGTACCATCATGAAGCACGACGGCACCAAGACAGAAAAACTGGAGAAGTTGATGGTGCGCATTGGCGTTTTCAGCGTCCTCTACACCGTTCCGGCTACCATCGTCATTGCATGTTACTTCTACGAACAGGCGTTCCGTGAGCAGTGGGAAAAAACCTGGCACATGCAGACATGCAAGCGCTTTGCCGTGCCGTGCCCGGCCAACAACTTTGCGCCCATGACGCCTGATTTCACTGTGTTCATGATCAAGTACCTCATGACTATGATTGTAGGAATCACATCAGGATTCTGGATATGGTCTGGAAAAACTCTACAGTCGTGGCGAAGGTTTTACAAAAGGCTGGGCAACAACCAAGGGGAGACAACAGTGTGAACTGAACTTTGTGGACTGCATGTGAGAAATACAGGTCAATATTGAAAGGAAACGTGAACTGCGATCAGGTCACACAACATAGTACGTTGAACCATGCTGATGGTAAAAGACACTGTTGTGTGAGCCCAGCATGATTCTTTTCTCATTTAAAGCGATGTAATGTATAAAGTGCCCAGACTTTGCCAACACTTTTGAAAGCACAACTCCAAAGAACATGCATTTCTCCAATGGACTAAATTTCAAAATGTTTTTACAACCTTGAGCCTTGGAAATCCTACTAATGATTTTTTATGGAAAAGTTGGCATAACTCTTCTCTTTTATACTGATGTGGGAACTTTAATGCTGACTTGTTATCAGTTTACGCCGTGATTTCTTCACCCGACGGCGGCCAGAAATGTCTGCAATTTAGTCTTGTGCCTTGCAGTACTGATCAATTCCTGTTGTTGAATGAATGTCTCTTTTGTTTTTGTTTTGTTTTTACCACATTTTTTTGCTCATAGATTACATATTTTAGTATCTGGTTGCACATGGCCATTTATTTAGATTTTAGAACTAGTTAAAGTTAATGTTCTATGGTCATGAGTTGCTTATTCATCCATGTTGCCATATCAAGTCAGGTCTCATGAAGTAATTTAATATTCCGGCATTTTAAAGGCCTTAGCGGAGTGAAAGTGACTGACAGGATGAAAAATGTTTAGATAAGAGGTATGAACAGGAGGAAATGTTATCATATTTCATTATTTGTAAATATCACATTTCTGTCAAAAGATGTATGATGTATTTAAGCAGATTACTTTTGTTTAAGGCCTTTTTCAATTTCACTTAATAAAGTGATTAGATTTTTAAAAGCTGCTTGAATTTGTTTGGACAAATGGTGACTTGTCGTTGCCCTGACGACACTTAGATTTTTCTCCCAAAACAGTTGTTAACAAGTAGTTGAAACTGATAGAAGCATAATTTACTACAAAAACAGGCCTCAAGTGAGTAGCCCTCCATGTGTCTCGAGTCCATTAATGGTTTCGGCGTGTAGCTTGCCTTGAATCAAGGAAAACGACAGAAAATGGGTGAAGAAAAGAATCAAGGGTGTCTTTGATGGGGAAAGAGTAAACATTTCTCTTAAGAAAGAAAAAAACTAAAGTGGCCTACAAAAACAGGATATAATCACGGATGGTGTGAAGTTTGTCACCTTGCCTCTGGGACAACAGGAAGCCCTGAGATGCACCAAAACATAAGATCTCCTCCCTTCTCCAGATGAAACTAGATACCGCTTCATTCTTTAGGGTGAGGGAAACGCCCCATCCCACATCCCCTTCTCCTGTTGGGGGATGTTTCTCAGTAAGGGCATTTGGAAGGTGATGGGGGTGGGTGGGGTTACAGTATCTGTGAGAATACAGTAGATACTGCACTAATGAAATAACACAGATTATGATTACCGGTACATGGCAAAGAGACATAATGCTACAAAACTTCCTCTGTAAAACATATTTTTAATCTGTTTTAAACAATAATGTTCATAAAGCAATCAAAGAAACTTCACACCAACCTTAGATTGTGCAGTTGTTTTTCCAGTATAATATGATTATTTGTGTGCAGTACATGCACCCCAGTGTCTGATTGGGTGTTGTTGGCACTCAGTGCCTCGGGGGACGTGAAGTGTGTAAAATTCACAGCGTGTGCAGCCAAGAAACATCCATGACTTGGATTGACGGTTGGGTTAATGGATTTTTTTCTGTCACTGTCTGATTTGCTGCCAACACATACACACACACTCATACATGTTTATAAGGTGAAAAATGAGGCATTTTCAGGAAACACTGCCTTTTGTGTGTTATGTGTCCCTATACTGATATAATTAACTGATGCTGAATTTATGTTGCCTTCAGTTCACATGCTATCGAAGATTTCTTACTTCCGACTTCGGAGTCTTAATATAGAGCCCATTGCGTTCAAGTGCTTTTTTGTCACAAAAGACAGGAATCATGGAGGACACCGGGGGCTGTACCATGATGGTAGTTGAACAAACTCAGGGTTGCACGATTAGTTTCGAGTTGACGAAACCAAACCAATCCAACCAGGCTTTGTTGGTACCATGATGCTGATCATCAACTGTCTCTGTCAACTCAGGCTTTGATCCTGAGTTTAGTTGCGACATCAGTAGCGAACAGCCAATCACATGCTGAGAAAGAGAGAAGCAGCGCAATTCACTTATTAAAGAAAAGTATTAAAATATTAAGAATTTAAACAAATTTACACAGCAAGAAGAAAACAGCTGTCTATGAAAGAGGACAACTAAAAGAAAAAGTCTCGCTACTGTATATCAGTGCAAGTAAAAGTGAAGTTAGTTTATACAGTTGATAAAGGTATAGAGAGAATTGAACATTTAAGCTCACATGTAGTCAATTTATAGCTTCATCTATTGAAGCTATAAAATGCGTATTTATATTACCTTTATATATTTATTCATTTAAAATCTGCGTAATAACAATTGATGAACTAAAATTGTACATGTGTGATCGATTAAGGGTATAATAATTACATAAATAATTTCTAAATTATACACATTTATTATTCTAAATAAGCATTGCTAAAAGCCAGACGATTTTGTCTTTAAAAATCATTTGCTATGTAGTGACCTTTAATTTGGAGTAAACAGGTGGAGTGACTTTATCGCGTCAGACATGTGCCACTTTGCTCACAGCTGATTGGTCCAAATTCGTTTTGCAACCTCTTACCTCTTACCTGGAACATAAACTGCCCCGGACGCGATATTTTTTTTCACAGGATGGTAGGGGAAGACTCATGAATATTCATTAGGGAACTCATCCCTGATTGGTCTTAACCCCAGTGACTGGTAGGTTTAGGGGCGGGGTTAGGGGTAGGTCATCAGACCCCCAGTGACGGGTAGGTTTAGGGGCGGGGTTAGGGTGTAGGTCATCAGACCAATCAGGGATGAGTTCCCTAATGAATATTCATGAGTCTTCCCCTACCATCCTGTGAAAAAAAATATCGCGCCCCGGACCAAGTTAGCCGTGGAGCGTAAGTTACTATGGCGATGAACACTGCTAAAAGCCAAACCACTTTTATGGTGCCTAAAACCCAGGGTTGGCGCAAACTAAACTGAAACATACCTGGCTAGCCACCTAAACCGGCTTCATAGGCCCCAGGTTTATTTATGCCTATTTCTTGGGGAAAGCCAAAATGTATTGAAAAGTAGCATATAAAATGTAGCACTTTATTCGTTGACAATAAACAACCTGTCTAGATAGTCAGTTTGCAGACGATTTTGGAATTTTGGTCAAATAAATGCTATTTTCGCTGAGTATAAAACATAGAATATGCTTCAAACGACAAGGCAAGGTGATGTAGCTGTTCTGGAAAAAACTAATAAATAATACCAGTCACAGCAGCAATCGTTCTCCCCTCCGCCATGTTAAAATGTATGGCATGCCTAAAGGTCCTTGCACACTGAGTCCTAAATTTTCGTATTCGTCATGTGGTGGCTCTTATTTGTCAAACACCTCTCAAAATGCTTGCTACGGATGCGAAAAACGCAGACAATCGAACCCGACCCGGATTTTCTAATGACGGACGAAAGTTTCAGAGGCAGTGTGTAAACCATAGACTGTAAAAAAATTGTAAACGTGATTGACACAACGTGGGGTCGTGTTTATTTTTTAACGTGCGAAAATTTCGGACGAGAATTTCGGACTCACTGTGCAAGGACCTTAACTTGGGTGTCAAAATTATCTCCAAGTTTCCCAGTAGTAAATACGACTTGAGAGGGCATTCATGTCCAATTTCCAACTAGGAAACTCATATTTACGATAATTCCGATGACATGGCAGCATAAGTCACACTATTAAATACATTTAACTCAAAGAAAATATCAAATTTGTCCTTTTACTTTGTCCTGACTTTACTTTGTGTAATGGACGTAGGCCAGTAAGAGCTGTGAGTGTGAACCTCACTCCGGTTCGAATCCCGCTCGGAGAGGGTCGAGTAGGACCGGTTACATTTGGTGCCGTGACCCGGATAGGAGTAAGGTTTAGGGGAGTGCCAGTGTGTGTGAAAATGGACGTAGGCCATTAAGAGCTGTGCGTGTAAACCTCACTCCTGGCCTCAAGTGGTATCAAACAACTGACGCAAGAGGCTGAGGTCTTTAGCGACCTTGTTAGCGTGCCGGAGGCCCCGGAACGAATCCCGCTTGGAGCGGGTCCAGTAGGACCGGTTACACTGGCATTTTTTGTTCACTCATGTTTTGCTGTGACATCCCCCTTTAAAAATACAGATTTTTGTGAAATAATTTAGAGAAGTTACATTAAAAATGACCACATAGTTAAAACAGAGGCAAATTTCTCATACAGTTATCAATATATCATTATGTGTACACATTGCCTTGTCAAGCTCAATAGTTCAGCTCTTTTATGGTAAAAAATTGTTTTTTTGGGCAAGATGGTCTTGACAATATTTGCAAGCTAAGACTTTTTTTGCATTGATCTGAAACTCCTTCAACATTCAACCCCAAAAACAATAAAACGGGTAGATATCAAACTTTGAAAGATGAATGTCAAGGGTTATTTAAATTGTAATGTGTGATTTAATGTGCGTAATGTGTGAAAATTGATGAAAAGGCTGTAACCATATATTTTAAGACAGGGAATAAAATTTAAAAATTGTCCATTAAGCAGGAGGAAAATTCACCCTTTTTTCGAAATGCTTGTTATTCATTTTACTGTGATTGATTCATCAGTGCATATGTTGACTTTTTTGACCTCGTCCTTTTTATTTAAAAATATGGTAACTCGGTTTTCCGGTTAAACGGCAGACGTCTCTCTTGTGACATATTAGACTTCTCCAATCCTTCAGTCCTCTTAAACCCTGCCCTTTTCTTACAATTGACTGCAAGCTCGCATTCAGATCTGCCTTGCACAATCTCAAAATTCAGTCCACAACCGAGCCAAGTCGTTTCACTCGGATACACATCCCAATACAGAAAAAAAGATCGGTCTCTCCATTTCAATGAAACTTAAAAAAGTTATATTTGTTGTGCACTATTCTAAATATTTGGAAAAATTAATGTCCTTATTGAATGAATATCCTTATTGTATTGTTTTTCGCTGGTCAGGGCATGATAGTTTGGGCCACAAGATGGGGAAAATGGTTTCTTTGAATTTCAACAGTAGCAACAAAGCCACAAATGCCACGGTCTATTGAGACTTACCCATATATTAGTGCAAAAATCATTCTTAGGACAAAATTCTGATGTGTTTGTCATTACAACAGGTTGTCTGTGAATGAACGTTTATACAACACAAGAAGAATGCCTGTTTTAGGCTCAAGAATATATATTGTACAGAAATAACAAGACGCTAAACAGCTCTGTTTGCACAGCATTTGAAGTCGGCATGAAACGGAAGTTGTGATAGTCTTTTCTTCCCTATTGTGACGTATATCTGAATGAAACGATGTCTTGAACAAGAAAAAAATGTAGGGTGTTATGGATTTTTTAATGAATAAAATAGTAAACTGTAAATCAAACTAATCATAACTCTAATATCTAACCTTACTTCTCTTTTAGGCCTAACATTCTAACACTTGAACAAAATGTGCTACTCTGAAGATTGTGTCGAAACCAGAGAAAAATTCTGAGATGCTGGCTAGACAATATCAAAAATATACTTTCTAGAATAGTCTCATGACATATTGAGTAATCAAATGAACTTCTAACCCTTTTCTATTTTTTTAATTATTTGAGATCTAAGTTTCTACCTAGTAACAGAAGGGTTTGCATATGAAGCACCAATCAAATTGTAGGGAAATGATGTAATGTTTCATGTCATTTTTGCCATGCTCCTATTCTAAAAAAAACTGTTGTATTCCTTTTGCTGATGGGATTCTCTCTGAAATTTATCTGGGATCCTCCAGCCGTGATTAAAACATATTCGAAGGCATTGTTTGTCTAATGCATGCGCAGCAAGTTAGTTAGGGGAACAAGTTAGGGATTGCGAACTCGAAGCCAGTTGTCGACTGTAGACGCAGAGCTAGAGTATAAAGATATTATTAAGTGTCGACTGTAGACACTTGGGTGTCGATTGGTTGAGATAAAGATATTAAGTGCCGACTGTAGATGCTTGGGTGTCGATTGGTTGAGATATAGATATTAAGTGCCGACTGTAGATGCTTGGGTGTCGATTGGTTGAGATATATTAAGTGTCGACTGTAGATGCTTGGGTGTTCCATAAAAAATAAGGATTGTCCATTTTGATTTCATGGTGACTTTAACAAAAGAACCCACAGGTTCTCTGAATATGGCCACACCTTGACAATTTATGGTCACCCACAGTTAAGCCTTTTTGGTTAATAGGTATTCTGTGTTCATCTGTGTTGAGCATTTTGAGCACATTTTTTGTGGAAATCTGTTACCTGCTGTGTGTCCCAGGTGCCTTCAACCTCCTGAAAGAAACATGTTTTCCCAGGTAACTGCACACCCATTACAGGAACAGTCTTTCAGCCCCTTGAGATACAATTACCTGAATTTGTATCGATACTCAGCTCACAAACAAAGCTTTAACCTATGTTTTTCAAGGTGTTAACAATGTTTACCTGTGTAAAGAGCTGTCTCAGCAGATCACCCAGATTGTTGAGGTATCTGATGCCTATTCTGTGCTCTCACCTCGATAGAAATAGGCTATGAAAAGGAAGTTGTCGGTGGGGTTGCCCAGGGAAACATTCCTTCTAGATACATAATATTTCCCCCGGTTCAGTTTAGTTTCCCACAGTACAGATCAGGGAGTATTTGTGCCAAAAAATATTGGATTGAGTTGCTACATTTTCTGCTCTTTTTTCTTTCTGTGTATCAGGTATATTATATGCACCCTTAAAGACTCGTATTTGTATTATTTTATTTTCTTCCTTGAGGTCCAATTACAGTCTGGTGATGATACACAGGGCAACATTTTGAGCAATGTTGCTGGGCAATCTTGCCGAGCGATTGTTGCTTGGGCACTTTCCCATTGAAAATGGGCAATACATTTCTATCTGGATACTTTAGGTCGGTCGTGGGCTCTGTGTCTAATCTGGTTGCCAGTTGATGGCAACATTGCCCAGCAACATTGCTCAAAAAGTTGCCCTGTGTATCATCACCTTTAGTCAAGGTTGCTGCACCAAACAGTCAGAGCGATCCGTCAAACACATCCGTTGTTCATGAATGGTTTGAATCGCGTTGTCTGCGTTAACCCAAAGAATATTTAATGGTTGCTACGCACAACGCATGATTAGCTGTACATAAAATAAGCTTTTTTAAATGCAAGTTGTGCTATAATTTAGTCAAAATAACTTCCTCTCCCTCTTGCGTGTTTACCGTCCCGAGGGCGGTGCCTGTCACTCACAAGAGATCACAGCTATGGACCTTTTTCACATTTCCGCCCGGTTACACCGTTATACGCCCGGTAAGCGGAAGTCTTCATAGTTGGGTAAACTTTTATAGCGGTGAATGAGAGACTATATTAAATATATTTTTGTGTTCTCATTTGCTTAAATAGCAAATCGAAAATTTAAAAAGATGGAATAAAACACAGAGAGAGTTTGTAACGGCAGTCAGGAGAGAGAAAGACGTCAACTACGTCCCAGTATTAGAAACACCCTCCGTGCATCGTTAAGTAGTTTCTTGTAATTTGATGCAAAGGTAATATAATACAAAGTATAGTGTTATACATACATTAATATATATATATATATATATATATATATATATATATATATATATTTAAACGTACTATTTACTATGTGGATGACCGCTACAACGCGTCATCACAGTGAAAAGGGTCCATAGCAGATCGCAACAATCCAATCAATGCCCATTGGACAAAAACAAATCCTGCCTTATTTTTTTTTCTTGTTCAAGAAGCCTTTTCACTTCACAATAGGGAAGAATTTTAGGGGCCGTTTTCCCTCACCGTTTTCAACTAAAAACTGAAAACTTTTTATGCCTTTTGGCCGTTAATTTACACGACAATAATGTTTTGGGGGCCTGAAAACGCAAACTTTTGAAACCGGGTTTGAAAGTGCAAGTTTTTGAACTACAAAAACGTGAATTTGTGAAAACGGTGACGTCATGCGCATGCGTAATACATGTTCAGTCTAGACGTGTTGTGTTTCTTTACAACGTGACTTTAACTACTGACCCACCTGACATGCATAATACAGGGTTTTTAGTCGTTTTCACGGATCCCTGTGAACGGGGTCATTTTGACAACGCATTTTTAGTAGTTTAAATTTACCCTTTTTGCCCAATTTAAATGAACGACCTGCTTGTGCTTGAGTCATGAGATCCTTATACAATTAGCAATAGCAAGATTTTTTTTAGCATAAATAACCCTCATTTCTCTTAATAGTATTCCTTTCATGACTAATTGGACCGAATTTCTTTACTCAAATAGGCATTATGTAAACATACGCAAAAGCTACTCATCAGTCAACACGAGACGTTTTTGCAGTTTAGCTGAAATGTAGCCTAGCGTATATGATGTTTATGGACTTGGGAGGACCTCTAAAAGTTACAGTATGTTTTCATAGTACAACTCTTGATATGATCCTTTCAACAAAATGTACACGTAACAGAGACAAATGCTTTGTTCTACCGCATAAACTTTAATGAAAATGTATGCTCATAGGTGATCTGCACCCTTCCCCCCTGAATAAACACACATTTTTTTTGCGAGGTCTCATCTGGTAGTGTTTAGGCTTTCGGAGGTGCTGTATCCCAGGCACAGAAATTGGATCATCCCGTTGGGGTTCGGCTATAGCAGAGGCCCCCACAGCAACACTTTGTGCCTAACAACCAGCATGCACATTATTCATGTTAATTACACGCATTATGTTTGAACGCTGTTGTAGGACACAACGCCTTGCTATACTTTTTATACACCGACACACAAACCACAAACACAGCGGCCTTCTCAAGTCCTCAAGGTAACAATGATGACTGAATCTGAAGGTCTGAAGCTGAAACTTTGAAAAAACATGTAGCTTCAAATGGACACCGTTTATGAGTGTTCCCTTTCTTTCCAAGAACCGTTCTCATTACATCCCTCTCTCTTTTGTATCTCATCTCTCTCTCTCTCAATCTCATAACTTTATCCACCCTTTGCTGTTTTTCCAACACCATGTTTCACTTTTCCTCCTGCCTTAATATCTGGCCCTTCCTGGAATCAGACACTTAAAATAAACAATCTCTCTGTACAGCATAGAAAGGCCCTCTCTCACTCCACACTGACATTCAGCAGACCAGGATCATCAACACTGTAACTGAAAACACACCAAATCATAGGGAATAATGTTACTTTTGCATGAAAACTCATCTTTTTAGAGCTGCAGTCTAAGGAACATTTCAAATTTTACGTATAGAATTAACATTAGAATGATCACATCACACACACTAAGTTGTTCCGGATGTTCATCTGTGTCCAGGTCAGAGTGGATCAATCCCATAATAACATTGAGATCCTCAAAGTAATTGCTTTAGATAATAACATTGTGCTACAGGAGTGGTTCTCAAATTATTTATCCTGTGATCAAATTGGAATCTTTAAGTATAGTCACAGCATTCACAAACAAAGAGCCACATGTCATATTTTGATAAATATCAAAATTTTTGGATTTCGGTATTTTAAAGTTGTCTATCAAGATAAGTTAAGCTTAGTTTTACATTGTAAGGCCACATAATTATTTTTTCTATGTCCTGACAAAAAGTACCAAAAAGAACATTCAAAACAAAACAATATGTCGCTTTTTCTAAGGGGAAGTGTTATTAAATTATATATATGCATTTACATTTATACACTGGTGTTCAAACGTTTTTAGTTATTAAGATTTATGTTTTCAAAAAGAAGTTTCTTCTGCTCACCAAGGCTGAAATTATCAGATAAAAAAACAGTAATATTGTGAAATATTATTACATTTTGAAATAACTTTCTATTTGAATATATTTTAAAATGTAATTTACTTCTATGATTCAATGCTGAATTTTCAGCATCCTTAATCCAGTCTTCAGTGTCGCATGATCCTTCAGAAATCATTGAAGATATTTATTGAAATTTTTTAAATATATATATTTTTTATTATTCGGATTCCGTCCTCAGACTGGTCTGATATATAAATACCAAAGTGCTGTAAGTTTACATTTCTATATGATATTCCTTTTTATATATTATGTTTATTGTTATCAGCTGTATTTCCCAACTGATATTTATTTATTTTAAAATAAGTAGCTCAGCTAAGACTTGAAAGGTGTTGCTGCCATCTAGTGTTCATAAATGGAACATTCCCAAGATCATTTCCTACAAGATTTACATGTGAACACAAACTGTTTTATGACACATTTTATTTATTTAAAAAAAAAAAACAAGACAAAAGCAAAGTCATAATTCTTCTATATCCACAAAACCATCTGGACCAAACACCCTCGCCTCTCTCATAGCATTAAAAAAATATAAAATTGTAGGAAACGAAACATGAGTACAGTGACACTGTGGCCGTATTTATTGTGTGTATGTAAATGATGCCCCTGAGTTCTAATCAAACAACACGGTTACCCATTATTTCCAGGCTTTGAAATCCATTATTGAGGTTAAAAGGGAGCCAAATATTCAAGACACGGCAGAATAGAAGGTGACAGCACAGATTCAAACAGGGGCAGCACAAATTCTTATACATTAGACAAAACCATGCAAAACAAAACCCTACCTGTCCTTTACAACAACACAGTGACCTCCCTCTTGCAATATCCCGTAAGACACATGCAAGAAAAGGGAAGAAACATTTGACACTTTTCTAACATCAGACGACAACTGCACAAATAAACCACCTCTGAACATCTCAGAATGGAAAGGTTTCCTAATGGCATGTATGCATGTTCACTAGCATTAAACGAGTCAGTTTTGGAGATGTTCAAAAACAATGAAACAGAACTCTTAACGATGGCCAAATACATAAACAGAAGTGAGCAACAGGAACACCAAAGCTGCCATCAAAAATTTGTCTTGATTTGTTGATTGGATTTAACAGCATAATGTAAAGGTTTTAGCATTGCTTTATGGATAAGCAAGACTGTTTTCAATCAGCTCAGGGCACAACACAACATGTAAACATGTGTCAATGGAAACCGTGACCAGAATCCTTTAAAAGAGGCGCATGAAGGCAGGGATTGGTTAGCGCAAACGCAGAGGGGAAGAACATTTCCCACCCCAACTCTTTCAAACTCAGCAGTCCTACCAGATTATCTATTTGATCCAGATGGTTTTTTTCTGCTTCCCTTTGAGGTAACAGCAAAAGGAAACAGATGAAATACATGTCATACATACAAAATTATGATAAAAATAAAGAGCATGAAAAATAGAGGTCTAGTCATTCCGACAGCCACCGGTCTGTTCCTGATACACCTCGATCACGTCCTCATCTTCCATTCCCAGCTGAAAGACAGACAGAGACAAACATGGTGAGCAGGATCATGACTGATTCCTCTTGTGTAGCTGAAAGGAAGTTTTCAGCAGTTGTGGTTATGGCCACCAGCTGGTCAATACCGTTGTAATACATCATCTGTCAAAAAATGTTGGGTTTTCATTCAGTCACAGAACAGAAATGAGCTACTTTTAAAGTCCCCTATTACGCTTTTTCGGAACCTATCATGCAGTGTGTAATATAGCTGTTTGTGTATGTAAAAGTTTTGCAAAGTTTCAAAGATCAAAGTGCACGATAAATGGAGTTATTGTCTCCCAAAAGAAAGAACCGATTCAGAACGGCCTCAAACGAGTTAATCCAGTCTTACTTCCTGCTCAAACCTACGTAGGTTTGTAACAAATTTGCATAATGCCAGCCTATGGTCTTCATTGGCTGCCATTGAAAAACGTCTACTTTGACCCTCAAACACTGTAGTTGTAGCTGAGGCCTGGTCGAGAAGACACCGTTTCCTGTGCCGCAAAAGCAAATCCACTTTACAAGCACTTTTTGTTGTGTGTCTCGCACATGCTGAAAGTGGTCAACCAATCACAATAGACTGGGCCATCTGACCAATCAGAGCAGAGTAGACTCTCGGAAAGGAGGGGTTTAGAGAGACAGAAAGAATCCTTGATTGAACTGTTTCAGACACTGAGGTAATGCTGCAATGTATATTATGAGAAAATTTTATGTTTTTTGACCTTGGATGCATGTAAACCTATTGTAGGAAACCTGCAAAACAAAACTAGGATCAGAAAAGGCTTTATGTAAACACCTGTGAGGAAAGAACTATATTTCAATACCCAGATTTTATATCGGACACCATGTGGTGACCCAAAACAGCATACCACGTTTATCCTCATTGAAAATAAACCCTTATTTATTGAACCCCTTATATATCATGATGAAGCCTGTCCATGTTGGCATCTGCATAATTTGGCTAGCTTCTACAAAGTGATGGATGATTTATGGCAAAATACCACAGAGTTTGATTGGATCTCTTTAACTTGTTGCAGTTTTACTCATAGAACTGTATATTGTACCTCTTTGGGGGTCTGGTTGTCTGCAATTCTCTGTCCCTCAAAAAGAAACCTTAGAGAGTTCATGGGTACACCCTGCAAAAAAATGCAAAACAGGAAATTACACCTGCAATAAAAAAAAAAAATTTGAATACGTATCTAAATGAATACCAGCATACACTAGCCATGTATAGGATATTTTCCTGTCTACTGCAGTGCAGCTCTGATATAGACATACACTAGCCTTAAAAAGTTGAAGTCAGTAAGATTTATTTAAAAATAAATTAAAACTTTAATTCAGCAAGGATGCATTAAATTCATCAAAAGTAACAGTAAAGACTTTTACAATGTTACCAAAGATTTCTATTTCAAATAAATGCTGTTGTTTTAAACGTTCTATTCATCAAAGAATCTTGAAAAAAATTATCATGGCTTCCACAAAAATATTAAGCAGCACACCTGTTTCCAACACTGATTATAAAATGAAATGTTTTTTTGAGCACAATATTAGAAGGATGTGACGCTGAAGACTGAAAATTCAACTTTGTCATCACAGGAATTACATTTTAAAATATATTCAAATAAAATAGTAATGCAATAATAGTTCACAATATTGATTGGTTAGCAAAAAGGACTTCTTTTAAAAACCCAAACTTTTGAACAATGGTGCAGATAGATTTAATAAATCCCTGATTTGGAAAAGAATTTGAGCAAATGTGTGCAGGTGATCACTCACCTGTCTCTGACTGTAGGATTCCTTCAGCTTCTTTAAATGTGTCGTCATCTTCACTTTGAAGTGAATTTCACTGTTGTCCTGCAAAACGAAATGAAATAAAATCTGTTTACTACTTAGAAACTATATTAGCAGCCCATGTCAGCTTGGACAGTACTAGATGACTTAATATTACCAAATAGTGATCTGATAACCTGAATTGCCTGAACTAGAAAGCGCCTCTATTTACCTGACCGATCACTTTCAGTTTAATATATTCTCCATCCTTCTTCTCGCCTCCATCACTTGAGGGCTTGGTCTCCTATTTAAACAAAACAAGAGTCATTAGATTTTGCATGACATGTTGTTTTGTATCATATGAATCTAATAATTATTCAAGGAGTGGGTTCAGTAAAACATTCCTAGGATATATTATACTACTAGATAGATGTGATTTTAATAAGTTATATTAGTGCAGAACAACATTGTCAGCCTGATGTAGTTTGTTTGCTCAGTATTTCATTAATATCTAAGAAACTGTAATAAGCAAGCAGTCCTTTAACAGTAAACACACAACTAGCCCTATTACAGTAAAGCATCAAGGGCTGATAATGCGCCCACAAAACAAAAAACAACATGTCCAAATGTTACACAACTTTTCCTAATTAACATTTCTAAAATGAATGAAAAAACAATGGCTCAAATGTTCAGCATGGTCCATCAGCTCAAGCCTATATGAACTTTGCTTTCAGGGCCCAGAGCAGCTAACTATAGCACCCAGGCTAAGTGAAAGATTTGAGAAAGAAATTCGCCTCTTTTTCAAGTTTACAAACAGAGTAAACGGGACTAATGTACACAATTCCTGAACCAAAGACAATATAGGGGTTAAACACTTTGGCTGTTTATTCAGCAAGACTTTCCCATCCACAGTCAGTTAGCTAAGCTATGGAAACAGACAGGCTAAAAGATGGGCCCTCTTATTTTCATTTTCTACAAGTCCGTCTTTCTCTTCTGCTCTCCCAAACAAGTTCGATTCTACAACATATGTTTAAACTCACCGTATCTGACATGATATTCCGCAATATGCAGCCCTCCTTTGGAACAACACTGCTTGATATAAATAATGAAGTAAAATGTGCAGTAATGTGAGGTTTTGCTAGCAGACTCACAACACACCGCCGTTTACGTCATTGGAAAGGGGCGGGGTTTCCTGAGGATCGTTGACCCAAATAGCGTTGTTTTTCTCATCGCGCTCTTTCTGATTGGTTCCATTTGCCGTCGAACTTCGAAGAGAATATTGTTCGATACTTCGGGGAAACGTGGGGGAGGCATGTACTGTGCAAGGCAGAGAGATCTTATCCATTTTTACAAAAAGATTCGAAAGATTAAAAAACACATAAACACTGTTAATCCACTGAACAACCATTTTTTTTCATGTTAGACTGTGCGTATTCAAACTTAACCAAAACTAATGAATACACAATATAAGCACATGGAGCTGAACATCTTAAAAATTAACAGTAAGGAGTTAGTTTTAAGTGCATAACATGTACACGTGGTCCTGTAAATTACAATGAAAAGAACATGAGAAAGATTCCTTCAGATCAGACGGTAATGCACATGCGCAATGTTGTATGGTAGTACTGCGCATGCTCACACTGTCCCCATGTGCACCTCGTGGTGGAGAGAGACTCCTTGTAGCGGTAGCGGAAAGCTCTCAATGTGGGGAGCGCAGCCATAAACTTGTTTTAGAGCTAGAAAAATTATTTCATAATGTTAGTGTTATTTGAAACTGCCGCCGGCTATGCCATATTCAAGGTAAGCATATTCATTATGTTGAGAAAATGGATATCGTGACTTTTTTTTCATTAGTAGTCAGATTTTGAGGTTTCTGTTAGCTAGCCGGCGTAGTTAGCAATGCCATCAGAGTCTCGGAAAGTCTGAAGTTAAATATTCTTACTATTTTCGTGAATACATGTGCTATCTTTCTTTGTAACTCTATACATAACCAATTTGTAAAGCGAGGCTAGTAAGTCACGGTTCAGCGTGTGTCGTGTGGCCTGCACTGCAGAATAGCCACGTTGTGTCTTCGGGACTCGCTCACTGACTGTTAGTCGCGTTTAGACGATTTTCAAATCAACCAGAAGTGCAAAACGTTAATGCACAACATTGTACATCACCGAAGAATGCTGTTGTACATACATAAACGACTTTTAAGAAGCTATTTAGACTTTAAATGCGGCATGCTTTTACTGGGGCAAGGGTCCACATGGTCTCTCGTGTCGAGAACTTTAGGTTTTGAGGCAATTTAAGCATTTCAATCGTGACAGAGATTGTGTAAGTACATTTTAATCATCAGTTGTGAGAATAAACATTCTTCTGTTGTGCAGGTCCTGGATGAACAGAAACTCCAGCAGGTGGACAGCCTGTGGAAGGAGTTTGAAACACCAGAAAAAGCTAACAAAGTGTGAGTACTTTTGAGAATATATGATTTGTCCATGTTGTTTTGTCACTGAAATGCCTGTGATTTATATAGTATTTATTTATGGCAGAACTACATGTCTTAACCATTCCCACTTTCATGGGAAACCTGGAAATATCAGGGAACTCTAAAATGGTAAAAAGGACTGGAAAAAGCTTGGGCATTAAAGGCATAGTTCACCCAAAAATGAAAACTATCCCTTAATAGAAGTATTAGTCTTTAGAAATATTTTTGATGCATTTAGATTGAGATATTTTATTGGACAGTTAATCATAAATGTATTCAAAATCCTTATTTATTAACCACAAATTGGTAATCTCACTGCATTTCCTTGGTTGAAAGGGGGAAAAAATCTGTTATCTCACGGTTTCCCAGTCTTTGAATGTTTCACACATTTTCCTTGAGTGTGCATTCAGTAACAACCTTTTTGTTTTTCAGTGTAAAACTGAAGCACTTTGAGAAATTCCAGGATACAACAGAAGCTCTTGCAGGTAACTATGCTGAACTGAAACTTTGACACCTGTAGTCCTTAATAAGCTTTATTCATATATGCAAAGCAGTTTAAATGTCCATCAGCTGTGTGTCTATGATGTATCTGTGTATCTGACTCAAGCATGAGGTCGTCAAACAGTAGTTCGTCACTACCACTGAGACCACAGATTTCCTTTTATTTATCTTAATCTAAATATGAGATTGAAAATTAAAGGCAACATAAAAATAGGAAAAACTCTCATTCAAAATTCTTTTTTTTTCATGTCTGTATCAGCGGCCACGGCGATGGTGGAGGGGAAATTGGGGAAAAGTCTGAAAAAAGTTCTCAAGAAAGTTGTGGCCAAAGAGGCTCACGAGCAGCTGGCAATCACTGATGCTAAGCTAGGAGGAGTCATTAAGGTAAATGGCGGGTTTTCCACAATTTTTGGGGGAAATGTCAGTACATTCCAGTGCGGTTTTAAATCAGCTCTGCTATATGCATTCCAAATGAAATCATGTTACTGATATTTGCCCTATGAAACACTACAAGCTGTGATGATGATGACCATTGTGTCATGTTGCTGAAAAATCATGAGGCATTTTTGTCACTACCTCATCTGAGCTTGTTTATACCTGGAAAAATCATTTGGTAGGTTTATGGTTTAGCATCAGGTCTGGTAATGCAAAGATTGTAGGTTTCATTCCAGGAATTTCAATATTGTGGTGCACTAAGCTTCATTAAAACAAAATAGCTGAGACTCTCTGCCGCCCCCTGCAGGAGAAGCTGAACCTGAGCTGTGTGCACAGCCCTGCTGTGGCTGAGCTCATGAGGGGCATCAGAAACCAGATGGAGGGGCTTATCACAGGTCTTTCTGCAAGAGAGATCAGTGCCATGTCTCTTGGTTTGGCTCACAGGTTAGTTTGCACTTGAAAATCAATGATAAATCTCAATTTAAACCATTCTTGGTTCACGTCAATGATTATTTTTGCTGACCGACTTCTGTGAGGATATTAATCAGCATTCGTCACTACCACTGAGACTTTCTGAGCAGATATTTACATCAATCTCAACATTCATGCTTTAGTACAGCAATTGACTGGGTTTTTTTTTATTTCTTTCCTCAGTCTTTCACGTTACAAGCTGAAGTTCAGCCCAGACAAGGTGGACACCATGATTGTTCAAGCCATTTGTAAGGAATACTTTTGTTTATATATTTGCACATACTTGAGCACATGTATAGATGGCAGTGCTTTAAACAGCTGTACCCCTGGTTCACTCTTACCTTGCCATATTCTGCAGCTCTGCTGGATGATCTGGATAAGGAGCTCAATAACTACATCATGCGCTGCAGGGAATGGTACGGCTGGCACTTCCCAGAGATTGGCAAGATCGTCACAGATAACCTGGCTTACTGCAAGACTGTCCGCAAGATTGGTTAGTACACACTCGAAAGCATTTGATGAGGATGTCTAGATTACATCTTATAGATGCTCTTCCTTTTGTTGGAAAGAAAAACGTAATTTCAGTTTTCCTTATGAACAGTGATGTACACTGAGGTCTAAAAGTCATAGATTAAATGTAAAATAACCTGGAAATAAACAGCTTATATAAACTTAAAAGAATAAGTTTAATTCAAATTAAATGTTTTAGGGTTTAACATTTTTTTAATTTTAACTTTTTTTTTTTGTGGGAGGAATAATTAAATATTATATGAATAAAATAAATATTTCACATGTTTAAAGTTGGCATGAAACGGAAGTTGCGCTAGTCTTTTTCTTCCCTATTTTGATGTATATATAAGTAAAAGAGCTTCTCGATCAAGAACACAAGGTGGGATTTTGTCCATCTGTAATTGATTTATATGGTTGTGGTTTGCTATTGGTCGATCTCATTTGAGTGAGTGGTTAACCTGCCCTCACGCCAGTGAAGAGAAGAGATGTCGCTGCAAGAGGGAGTGGAAGTTATTTTGAATAAAAATATTTACTACAAACAAAACCCCACATGAAATTAAAAATGATGTAGCTCAGAAAGTCCTTTATAATAAATACTGCCCTATTCCATAAAAAAAACAAGAATTGTCTATTTTGATATACTATGTATTCATAATTCCACCATGTAGGTGTTCGCACAAATGTGGCAACAACAGACTTGTCTGAGGTTATTCCAGAGGAGATTGAGGCGGAGGTTAAACTAGCTGCAGAGATCTCCATGGGAACGGAGGTGTCCGAAGAGGACATTGCCAACATCATGCACCTGTGCGATCAGGTTTGTTGAACAAAAAACAAGTTTAGTATAAATAGTTTGTCACCTTGTTGCCTTTAAATGGTTTACATGATTAGTTCCGTTGTAAACTGGAAATTAAATCTCATTCTTTAAGGAAACTCGTCACCTCTTGTGAATTTCCCCCCCCTCAACCTCTAGGTGATAGAAATATCAGAGTATCGCACACAGCTGTATGATTATCTGAAGAATCGTATGATGGCGATTGCACCCAACCTGACAGTCATGGTGGGAGAATTAGTGGGAGCCCGTCTCATATCCCATGCAGGTGAGCACTCTTTGGTCTGTAACATGATGCCACTGGTCACACAAGATGAAATGCTGAAGTAAAGCTTTGACTCTTAACTTGACAGTTGACAGGTTAAGTTACTTGTGATTAAACCTCTACACAGTGTCTAATATAACATGTATATTTTTAAACTTGATTTGTTTTACTCATCAGGATCCCTGCTGAACTTGGCCAAGCACCCCGCGTCCACCGTACAGATTCTAGGGGCAGAGAAAGCTCTGTTCCGTGCTCTGAAAACCCGTCGGGATACGCCCAAATACGGTCTCATCTACCACGCCTCTCTGGTGGGGCAGACCACAGCCAAGAATAAGGGTAAAATCTCCAGAATGCTGGCCGCTAAAACGTCCCTTGCCATCCGTTACGACGCCCTGGGGGAAGACACCAATTCAGAGATGGGAATCGAAAACAGAGCCAAGCTGGAAGTCCGATTACGCTACCTGGAGGAGAAAGGGGTTAGTTGATATGGGATGCATTTGATCTTTAATCATGTCACAAGCAATGATGAGGATGACTTTATGTCACAGTCCTGAAAATACCATGTGGGTCATTAAGTCACTATCTCTTCTGAGCTTGGTTTTGTTTAATCTTTTATATGTTGTTATTTTATACAGCACTCTGCTAAAGTTTCAGTGTAAATATTTGCATTTGCAGTCAGAATGATAAATCCTTGATAATTAGTTGTCTATTTTCTGACCTAGATCAGACGCATCAGCGGGTCAGGCAAGGCTCTGGCAAGGGCTGATAAATATCAACACAAGAGGTGAGTTTTCCTTCATCCACATTGTTTTGGGTCAGTAAGAATTATTATTATTTTATTTTTTTTGAAAGAAACATTCATTCAGCATGAATGCAATAAATTGATAGTTGCTTTAAAGACGTTTACGTTGTTACTAAATTCTATATTAAATAAATGCTCAGTAAAAAAAAAAAACATTTATCATGGGAATAAGTTGCAATTTAAAATATATTAAATTATTTCAAATTGCTTTAATATTAAGCCATATGACTGTTTTTACTCTTATTTGATTAAAAAAATCTGTAAATTTCTGCAAGGAATTTATACAGGCTTGTCATTATTTTAAATCCCTGTCACCTTTTTTAGTCACTGGCAGGGTTTTGTGTATTCACTCTCCGAACAATTTTGGCTGTTACAAAGATTTAATGAGTACTTTCTTGATAGTTAATATTTTATAGTTTTTAAACTTATTTATAGTATTAGTATAAAGTATTTATTCATTATCATTCTGCTTTAACCATCTGATACTCAAAGAAAAAATTATTGCAATTTTTTGTATGACATTTAATCACCAGCCAAGCTTAAATTGTGACAGCCCTGGATTTAAGTCTCTTCTTTTTACTTCCTGCCAGTGATGTAAAGGTATACGACCCATCTGGTGACTCAACACTCCCCACCACCTCGAAGAAGAGGAAGATTGAAGAGGTAGAGGAGGGTGATGAGGAGGAGAAGCCAGTAGAGGCTAAAGCCAAGAAAGTAAAGCGGGAAGCCCCCGCAGAAGGTAAACATCCATACAGCAGAACACTGAGATGACTGGTGTTCCAGACACTTGTTAAATGCAGATAAACATAAAATGAATATTAATCACAGGAGAAGCAGAAACAGAGACACCAAAGAAGAAGAAGAAAAAGGAGAAGAAAGCGGAGGAGACGACTGCAGCCGCCCCAGCAGAGGTGAGGGGGTGGAATGATAAATTCATCTCTGGTTGACGGTGCATTTAATTCTCTGAATCATTAATATTCCCACATGGAATTATTATTTTTTTTAATTCGTTTAGCTTATCTACGGACTGGATTTTACTGATGATGTGTGTTAAGTAGATCTTGCAGTTTCTTATTGCTGCATTTACTTTATAGATGACAAAAAAGAAAAAGGAAAAGAAACGAGCAGCGGAGGAGGAGCCGAAGGAAGAGCTGGAAGAAGCAGCAGTCAGTCCAGTAGAAGAGGTAAGAGCCGTGATGACAAATACAATCATGTTATATTTTATACTTCTGTAAGTCCTAAAACACATTTGTTCCCTTTACAGACAACAGAAAAGAAGAAAAAGAAGAAAAAGGTTAAAGAAGAGGATGAATAGATGAATGGGACTTCTTTTCCATGAACTTTGTTGTATATAAAATTACTTTTATAGAGTTTTGGCCATCATATGATGGTCACATCCCTTTATTTTGTGCCTGGCCCAGTTCACATTCACCAGTTCAAGCGGACTGTTTTCTTTTCTTTTAGGCAATTGATTATTTTTAATTATAGGACATTTTCTCTCCATATAGCTTGATTGAGAAAAGTTCATAAGATTTATGATTCAATGCTCCTTGTGTTGAATAGTACTGGATCATTCAGTTCAGTTTGTCTTTTATAAGTGAATGTTTTTAGTTTAAAGTGAGAACAGGGTCACATAAAAGAAATCTCTGCGAGGAGTCAGTTTTGTCATGTAAAACTGAGTCATTTGTGTCTCAAGATTATTAAATACTGTGTTTCTAGCATGTGGACTCATTTTTTGTTGTTGGATTGAAATACAAGTTTTAGAAAGATATTGGCCATTGAACTTTCACCAAAGGACTGCTTTTCAAAATCTGTAATGCTGCACTTTATTTAAAAATGTTTAGATTCAAATCCAATGTATTTGATTCCAGGATGATCTCCTTCCCAAAGAGGAAGAAAAATGTTGCTTACAAATTTAGTGGAGATGAAACTCTGGACAATGAGGACATTTAGCCAAATCTTAGGATGGAGTATTTCATGTTTTATTGTGTGTGTGTGTGTGTGTTTTACATTCCACTGTGTTTCCTCCTCTTTCCTTGTTCCAGTAAGATCAGGCCAAGTCAAGAAACTTGGCCAAAATACAGCATAAATTTAGCCAGCCATCAGCATGCACTAGGTCTAATGAGCAGGAGATAGAGCAGCTATTTTGATTATCTGTCTAACATGAGAGGAAGTGACAGAATCTGGATATCACTGAGCCAAGATACAGTAAATCACTGTTCTTAAGGAGAAAGCAGTGCATTTTTAATATTCGTAGGCAAAAAGCTAAAGAACATTGTGAGTGGCTCTCAAGATCTAGATCAGTTATTCTCAACCTTTTAAATCATAGGCTCCACATTGTCCAAAGTCACCATGACTTTTCTAGTTGTTCATGATTTACTGGATAAGGATGAAGATGCGTATACATATTTTATACTCTTATTTTTACCCTATAAAATGCTTTAGAGCTCTGCTTAGCTGGAAACTGAAGACAATGGGAAATTTATGCACCGTAGGAAATCTGTAAAATAACAGAAAAATGACCCGCAGCTCATTACTTAGACATTATCTGTAATTTTTATGGACAATGCAGAATAAAATTCAAAATACTGGTAAAACACCTGCAAAAAATATGGAAAATTCCTTCAAATTAAAACAGTACATTGTGCCCTATTTTTGCAGATTTTTTTGAGTGATGGAGTGAATTTTATTTTGGTGTACTTTAATAGTTTTGTCTTATTTAAAAAAAAAAAAAAAAAACTTTTTGTTTTGAGGCCCCCTGACTGAGAACCGCTGATCGGAACTTGGCAAAATAAATTATAAGTGTGTGTGTGTATATATAAGATAAAAGAAATTGCCTCCCACTGCCAAATGCTTTTTTCCAGCAAATTTCTTATTTTGTAAATATTTGTTTGAACATTTGGCAAACAGAAATGGAATGACGAGTCCCTAAGGGGGGTCTATATTAAAAGTGTCAGTATCTGTGGCAGCAGCTGCTTAAATAACTGCAGTGCATATCGTCCTCATAAACTAGCAGATTCACCAGTTCTTGCATGTGAGATGTACAGTACTCCACTCTTCCACCATGGCACTTGCAAGTTCTCGAATATGGCTGGTAGACGGTTTGGCACTGCAAGGACGATCAGCTGTCTCCCAGTAGCACTGTCTTAGGTGTCTTACATTAAGGACATTGCAGTTTATTGCTGTGTTCACATGTGCAGTCCTCATGGCTCTTGCAGCAGGACTATGGCATGTTCACACAGGTGATCAGGGACCCTGGACCTCTTTCCCCTGGTGTTTTTCAGAGTCAGTAGGAAGGTCTCCTTAGTGTCCTAAGTTATTGGAACTGGACTTTAACTGTCTACCGCCTGTACACTGTTACCCCCGGTTTCACAGACCAAGCTTAAGCCTATAGTCCCAGGCTAAAATGCATGTTTAAGCTGTTTCAACTGAAAGCAACACACCTTAAAATAAGACAAATCTTAAAACATGTCAGTGCCATTGTTTTGTCTCAGGATGCACACCAGTATATAAAAGTTCCTGAAATTAGGGCAATAAGGCCTAATCGTGGCTTAATCTAAACCCTGTCGGTGAAAAGGCCTTAGTCTCTTAAGGACTGTTCCACAGGTGCAAGTGCAAAAATCGGTCATGGTTCATTGTAGAAGCATGAAAAACATTGTTTAAGCCCTTTTTAATAAAGATCTGTAAAGCTTATTTGGGCAAAATTATCTTTAAAATACAGTATCCTGAAAAAGGCACATTTCTTTCTTTGCTGAGTTTACATGTTTCCTTGGATATTAAAGGTGTTCTTGATGTTTCATTATAATCATCATGGGTTTTTGGAGAATGAGCACAAAGGTTATTTTCTTGAAAATCCAAGAAAATAATGGAGACCATTAAAAAAGAGCTAATATTGTATCAGGCTGTAATACTCGTTTGGCTCTAATTGGAGCCTTTCGTTTTAAGTGTTGACATGTTTTCCCCAAAGATCCCAGAATTTCCTCAATGCTTCTTGCTGAGATCGCTCCTTAAATGGTGAGAACGAGTTGCGGTGGCAGAGATTCTAACGCAGCAAACGTTTGCCCTCGTTCTCTGGCTCCGTAACCCTTGCCTTAGTAGCGCAGTTCTCTCTGGTCCATTTTGGCTATTAACATGAGAAAAAGGTTTTATCAGGAACATAGACAGATTTATAGAGTTAGCCTTGACCATTTCATATGGATGGGAGCCCAAAGACCTGGAGCTCTGAATATGAATAATTGAGGATAGGCATGTATGTTCCACACCACAAAAATACAACACACGTATATGGTGGTTGACATGTTTTAACCGGTGTCTTCCCAGAAATGCCATTCATTTTGTAAAAATAACTAATACTTGTAGGATATTAAAAGTAAAATAAGATTAGATAGAATCTATCTAGATAATAATAATGTGGGTATTTAATAACACAGAATTAGTTTGTTAAATTTCCACATTATTATTATATTCCACATTATAATTATATTGTTTCCCACATTTTAGTACAGTCATCAAAACTATTAAATAACACAACTGGAATTATGTAGTGACCAATAAAAAACAAATTCTGTCTCATATTTAATTTTCTTCAAAGTCAACAGCCTTGGTCTAGATTCCAGCATTCTCTGGACATTTTCTCAACCAGCTTTATGAGGTGCATCCTGGGATGCTTTTAACCCTCTGATGCACAGTGTTGGGGAAAGTAATGTGTTGCAATATTTCGTTACTCCCAAAAAAGTAACTAACTGTTACCTAGTTACTTTTTATAGAAAGTTACTTTTGCGTTACTTTTTTTCACCTGGGCTGGGCTTGCTTGTTTGTTTTTTTAATAACAAAAGTTACATTTTTGGCACAAAAAGTGAAATGAATAAGCCTCAGGCTGAAGGAAATGCAAAGTCAGTCAATGGGAAAACAAAGTAACTTGCGTTACTTATTTGTAGTAGCGTTACTTTATAGTTACTTGAAAGAAGTAATCTATCTAGTAATCTAAGATTACGTAACTTGTAATGTGTTACCCACAAAAATGCTGATGCATGTTAGTGTAGTAGGAAGACATTTTTAACCATTCAGGTTCTGAAGTTACATGCAAACCACCATAGATGATGACCTTTGACCCCTACCCATAACTCTGCATGTCTGTCTTCTCTATGTCATTGTGTTTTTTATTTATAACAACATAAATTCAACGTGACTGATGAAAGTGAAGTACATTTTCTATCTATATTGCAACAAACGCCTCGAAACACATTATTTTGATAAAAGATTCGTTTTATTCTTGTTTTGAAATAAAATGAAACATGAAGATGTTTTATCCATGCATGGGTTAAACAGTATTGAAGGAGGTCCCAAATAAACTTCAACCATTTAAGAATTAGCTTAGACCAAAATGTTTTTAAGATAACGAGAGACATAAATTCAGTGTGTGCAAACATTTGACTGGAAGTGTTCATTTCCCTCATTAAGAATTTAGAATTTTCCTGTTCATCAATAAAAGAGGGTAAAGCAGTGGACTTAAGGTTCAACTAAGTCAAAGTTAACAATCATAGAGTCTAATCAACCTCAATCTGTTCACAATAGCTGTCATACAGATCAGTGGCCCACATGATGACGTAATGATGACCTGCAGAACGTACAGAGGTCCAAACCTGGATGAATATTATCTTGAAAGACATGCATGCTTTATAGAATGCTATAGTTGCACAATACCAAACACGGCAGTGCATCCTCATTCCTAAGAGTAAGTGCTCAGTAAATGGTTTGTTTTCCGAGCAAATACCGTAAGAGAACACTGTAACTTTTGAAGGGGAAAAGTATTCTTGAATGGGTTTTACTGCCTGTAATAATTTTAAACGATCTGCTGAGCTACCCATGATTAAGAGGACATGGGGGTTGTCCACTCATGTGTGGTTACCAAATGTTCCCTATAACAATCCTCCCTTCCCACTAATCAAGACATTCATTTTATTACTATCAAGCGCAAAACATGCATATTAAACCCAAACACTCAGGATACGGGCAGCCTGCAGAGATAAAGCGATTTGTTAACTTTTAGTTAAGCTTTGAATGGGAATATACTTATCTAACTTTTCTTCCCTACAATCAATATAAGTTGTTCAAAATGATGGGATATTATCCCATGACCTAAATTATTTACTTTATCTCTTAACATTTTTAATAATGTTAACTTTTTTGTGTTCTTGTAAAATACTTGTTAATTTTTTTTGTATTCCTATTATTAATACTTAATACTTAATAAAGTCGCCAACAAATAGTACAAATATTCTACATAATTAAACACACCCTAATCAAGTGATATCCTAAAATGAAAAATTAAAACTGATGTGATATTACCACAGATAATTTGTTTGTACAAACGAATACAAATTAGTTGACAGTTATGCACTTACTATGGAAGACTGGGACAAGTGAACAACTGACTATACAGTATATATGTGGGGTAAACAATTATATAGTGATTTATCAAAATAAAAGGTAAATAATGTGGAAACATAACTGATAAAAGAGATCGTACTTAAAAAATTGTGCTCAAATCTATATTTTCCATTCACAAAAAAATGGAACTGTCCAACAATTCTCAGTATTTCAGTCCATTAGTCTGCTTTCACCTTAGGTGGGCAAGATCCCTCCTGACTGATCTGAGCTCCCGCTAGTCGCTCTCCTATGTTCCCACAGTAGAGAAGTGAACGCATGGGCCATTTCTGTTGAAGAGGATACAAGTACATCACTTGGATACCTTCAGAATGCTTATAGATTGGCTTAGTTAATCAAAAATATCCAAATAAATCCTTAAAAAACCTGGAAGAATGTTACACAATATGGAACTGTAAAATAATCTCAAGACTTTTTGTCTACAAGGCCCACCCATTGTCCATAACAATATTTGAGCCCTCCCCTCACTCACAATTTCTACCCAATAAAATATTTTGGAGCTTGGCATAACTAGAAGGATGTATTTTCATTATAAAAATAACCAAATACAGTTTTTCTAAGTCGCTTTTCTCAGACCACAACTGCAATTTTCAAAACTACTTGTTCAACCTCCACATCATCTTGTGGACATCATAAAAGCAATTTCTCATTCTTTTGGACAAATTAATGCTATTGATTATGTACAAATGTCTGCTGTTACCTATCAATTGCTAATGTCACGTTGATCAAAATATATTACACTTTTCTGTATAATAGAATGTTGTATGTCTCTATGTTTTCTTGATGAGTCTTACTCCTCAAAATATCTAGGCATTAGTTCCTTGCAAGAGTCATTAAATGCAAAATGATAAGGGCTGCTAGTAAACCATGTTCTCAATCATGACCTTATGGCCGAGGCAGGTCGAAAGGTACAGCCAAATGTTGGGAGAACAACCGTGTCCTCAATCATTCAAACGTTTGTAGGCAGAACAGTTATGTAATCAGACAATGTTCACTGTAATACTGTATACTTACTGTAATGCTATATTACTGTAGTCCACTTGCATTTGACATTATACATTAAATATACTTTAAAGAGACATAATGTAACACACTACCACACACGTACACATAGTATGTGTGTGTGTGTGTGTGTATCTATATAGAGAGAGAGAGAGACTGTCATTTTTGTAACAGTGAATCCTGTCCAGTCTCTTGCAATTAATATCCCACGAGTAATATGTAAATTTGTATTGTTGAAATTTATAAATGCCATACAGCTGTAAAGTCTTGAGCTTTTTTTTAACCATTGTCATCAAAATCTTAGCCATAGTTTACATCTGAAAATACTGACAGAATACACTGTTATATTGACAACATGACTAAGCATTTTTGATTGTAAACAATGACACAACTTGTCATTCTAATGGCACTGATATGTTCATTGACAAATACTGTTGAGAGATGAACTAAGGAGTTTGAGAAAGTTACAGGCTATTGCAGGTAATCCATTGTGTGATGCTGCTTGTATGAATTGTTTTGAGAAATGCACTTAATTGTTTGCCAATCTTAAGGAGGATTCGAGAAATGTACCAAAGCGACTGAGAAAAACTGTAAAAAAGAAATGCCTTGATTTTTAGCGGTTTTAGCATTTTGAATTTTTCATAATTTCATGCTTGTTTCGCCTTATTATAAATAATTTTAAGTCATCTTGAGACCCCTTAGAAGTTTGTTGAGGCCCCTTAGTGTTCCGCAGCCCCCTGGTTGAGAACCACTGCTCTAGATAGATAGATAGATAGATAGATAGGTTTCACCTTCACAGGATGCAGGTACTCTGCTCTCTGCAGGATGGGATGGTCCCCCAACATCCCATCCTGGTCCAGGGTTTCGGTCAAGTGGGCGATGTAGTTGGTGGCCAGGACCAGCACGTCCAGCTTGGAGAGTTTTGTGTCGGGAGGGACGGAGGGTAAAGCCGCCTGCAGGCTGTGGAAGGCTTGTCTGAGGTTTCGAACACGACTCCTCTCTCTCGCTGCATTCTCAGGAGAGTTCTGGCTCTTATATGCCCTGGATGGAGTTGTCGGCCCAGACTTTGCCTAAGACAATCCAAAGGGATGAGGGGAAACTTTTTGTTATGTTTTGTGAGTCTTTAGAGGGTATAGGTCCCACTTTATATTAGTTGTCCGTGTCTTTAACTTCTATGTACTTTGAAAAAAAAAAACAGTTGTTAGGTACTTATTTATTGTTTTCATGTTGTATTGCAAAATGCTTTTGAGGTGCATGTACCTATATATATATATATATATATATATGCACCTCAAAAGCTTTTTGTGTATATATATGTATAGGTAACACAATAAGTGCATTGTTTCTAATTATTAATTGAAATATTAGTAGTTGAAACTAACATAAAGTGGGTCTGAAATCTGTTATACAGTATAGGGTCCAAAAAGAAACCACTAACAAAAACGCTTCTATTTTGATTTTTTTGACAAACTTTTTCATCACAGATTATATTGTTAGCAATTTTTTTTAGCATATATTGTAATAATATTAAAATTAATATTTATTTGATAGTTTTATTTATAATTTATAATATTATTGTTGTATATATTAATTGAATTATTAATATTTATTTACGAATTTCTATTTAAAAAAATCAAACATTCTGCATTAAACTATTTGTGGGACTAATTTTGAAAACAGTCACACTATGTGAAAAGTCAAGATATTGACGTTTGATGTGCATGTTAATACACAATACAAACCAAACTGATGATTTCTCATTACTCTTTATAACCAAATGATTTTAAATCCCTTTGAGCGCTATAACCATCCGCTACTCCGTTCACTCACCCACTTCTTTGGCTCTCGATGCGTTGCCTGTTTTACGCATGGTTGTGTCCATCTGTGCGTCCTCACACTCTTTCCTCCCATCTCTCCCCGCTCCTGTGCCACATCCTCTCGTACCGCTCGCTCAGCCATGGGAACCAGCGGCGAGGCCACCGAACCGGTCTCTAAATGACAGCACTTTAGTGTCTCCCTCGAGCTGCGTGAAGGGGCTCTTCCACCCAAAGGCCCAATGTCCACTGCGCTCGGCTCCATCCCCTCCCTCTGCCTTATCTGGTGAGGTAATGTGGGGATCTTCAAGCGGTACGTTATCTCTCGCCCTGCCTCCCACGGGTGCTCACTGCCAAGGGAGCAGACTCAGGAGAGTTGCATGGTGTCCCCAGGCAGGTCGGCAGCAGCGGAGGGTCTTGAGAAAAACAGAGAGACCTTTTGCAGCTGCGGACCCACAGCAGACGCAACCTTGACCCCTCGGCCTGCTGGGGCGACGTGACCTAAAACAATGAAAAGTTACTGTGTCGGCTGTCAACGTGATGGGTGTTGATCAGACTGCATGGGACTAGTATGTCAAGGATATCTGGATAAAGAGACGTGATGATACATTTAAACATGAGATATTGCTGTTACTCTAGACCAGTGATGTAGAAGGACATGGGTATTATCACATCTGCTGTCTAACTGCTACTGGCTGACAAGACATCACGTATTTGAAAAGAATGCAGGAAAATGGAACAAAGTTCTTTTGTACTTGCACAATTTCTTGAACTATGGATTTGGTGTTTCTAGTCACAAAACGCATAAAAAAGACTAGTTCCATCTAATCTATGTTAATGTTCGAAATAGTATTTCCCCGAAAGGAAATGTTCATAGCTCAAGTTCTCAAGATATATACACATATTTATACTTTCATTCTTCTTTAGGGGAAATAACAATAGAATGAAATAAGAAAAAATGTCAACATATGCCTAGTAAGAGCATGAGAGAAATCACAAAACTTGGCAATGAGTATGTCTGGGTCATATTTCAACAATTATATATATATATATAATGTTAAATGCAATGTTTATATTGGGGGTATGATTGTACTACTTAACTCTTATGATAAAAAAGAGTTAAAAAAAGAGTTGTTTTTTTAGGTGAAAGTGTTTCACCCATAAAATTTGGTTTAAGAAGAATTTGATGAGAAATCAAATTTAAATTCAGATTTTTGATCACAGACTTTGGTATAATGCGATACATTGTTCAGATCTCTTCTGTAACTCTAGACATGTGAGATTATTTGTGCTTTTTAGGAAAACAAGATCTGAGAAGCAGGAGAGAACAGGGATTTTTTTTATTGTGCTGCATCTCATTGCTGTGTTAGTGGAATAACCGAAGTATTAAACATATCTACAGATGAGAAGTTTATTTATGTATAATCTTATTACTTTTTAAATTCTTTTTATAACTGTGTCCACTGTATATCCGACTGATTGCAATGTATTCCTCCTTTTGATTCTAAACTGAACTCAAATGGCACTGAAAATTGGGTAAGACAAGAGACAAACATAAATTACTTACTTGGGGAACTTGAGAGATGAAACCATGCTGATGACCTGGGTCTGTGGTGGAGTAGTGAGTTTGATGTGTGATTAAACTCGAGGTTCTGTGGGGTGTGGACTGGATTGATTCCATTCCTAGAGCTTCCGAACAAATGGGTTTTTGGGGTGCGGACTGATGAGGCAGTGAACCCGAGGTTACCCCGTGAGTCAGTCAGAGCTCCTCCTGTCCGATTTTAGGGGGAAATTGGGTCAGATTTATAGGGCGCGCAGAAAAAACACCACAGACACAGTGTGATCAGCATGGGAAAATCTCAAGAATAAAACTGGGAGTTGTGGAAAAATATGATACAGCGGTGTTTTGCCAGATGAGAAGTTTATCTATGTATCATGTTTTTACTCTTTGAATTCATTTTATTACTGTACAATACATCTCTTTTAATTTCTTTTATAACTGTTTTAATTTTCCTTGCTTTTATTTTGTGATTATTTTAATTCCTTGTTAAGCACTTTGAATTGCCATAGTGTATGAAATGTGCCATATAGGCCTAAATAAACTTGCATTGCCTTGCCTTACAGAAAATGTTGTTTAAATGAGTTTGCACTGTAACAAACTCACTTTGAAAAAAACTTTTACCATCTTTTCCTCTCTAGAAATCCGAAGAAACTTCAGTCAATTTGGACTGGAGCTCAACTCAGACGTAACTAGTTGCGAGCACATTTGTCAGTCATCGATTGCTCTGCGAATGACTGTCATGTCTTCCATCCGCACGCATTGGGAACCACATGGTGGGAAAGTGTCTCCACACAGAGTGAAGTTCGCCTGTATACAGATGTGTTTTCTATATAGTTTTGCCGTCTAACAAAATAAAATGTCGCAGGTACAGGCCCGGTTCTTCACCGAAAACAAAAAGTGAGTATATATAGTGTGCTTAACACAAATAGCTGAAACGTTTAGCTGTAGCTAGATAAGAGATATTCAGCTGAATTTGCTTAGTAGTATTTGCAGTGTTCATAATGATGGTAGATGTAGAGTGTGTATGTATCAGTTGTAATATGCTCTTCCCTGTAGGCATCTGATAGATGATGTTCCGTTCTCCATCCCTGCTGCCTCTGAGGTGGCGGATCTCAGTGGTGTCATCAACAAGCTGCTGGAAGCGAAGAATGGTGAGCTTGTTTAATACCAGGCATTCATTTAGACGTGTTTTTATCTTGTTATGGTGCAGCATACTTGCCCACTATACGACTTATTAAAAATCATTTTCCCAAAATTGTGTGTAATCTAATTATAATATCCGGTCACACTTTACAATAATGTCTCATTTGTTAACATTAGCTAATGTATTAACTAAAATGAACTAACAATGAGCAATACTTTTGTTACAGTATTTATTAATCTTTGTTAATGTAAGTTAATACAAATCCAGCTGTTTATTGATTGATCATGTTAGTTCACAGTGCATTAACTAATGTTAACTTAACAATACTCCATTTGATTTTAATAATGTATTAGTAAACGTTGACATTAACATTAAATAAGATTAATAAATGTTGTAGAGGTATTGTTCTTTCTTAGTCCATGTTAACCTTATTGTAAAGTGTTACCGATTCTCTCTGTTGATTTAATGATTAGATTCTGACTTTTGAAGCTGCAGCGCTTGATTATATTTTTCTTGTATTTTTTTTATTTTTCATTTAAATTCACATTATTGATGTCTCTTTTTCCAGCTGGACACAAACATGTTGAGTTTGATTTTCTGGTTCGGGGACAGTTTCTCCGCACTTCACTGGCCAATCACATGGAGACAGAGAACATCTCAACGGTATGTCATTGCATTTAATGTAGTCTCACCAACACATATCTATAGACCGCCTACAGTTTGTTCACTGACCCTTTGACTATGTTCAGACTGCAGGTAAATGGCCCAAAATCTGAATTATAATTTTTTGCCCATAAGTGACATTGTCATGACAGTGTGAACAGCACAAACTATCACATGTTACTTCCCTACTATATAGCAGGAAAAAAAATCAGTATGGCTGCATCCGAAATCGCATACTCTCTTGAGCAGGTACTTATTTTAAATAAGTAATCACTTCACGACCACTAAAAGAGTATGTTCTATATAGTATGAATATGTTGTGTAGTAAACATAATCTGGACATACTACATTCGGCATGTTGTCATTCACAAATCCTCTCCAGTAGCCTCATGGGATATTAAAGTGTCCATCGTATGCACGCTTCAGAGTACTTTTGCCTTCTCTTTTATGAGTGCTGTGAATTTAGACATACTACTTTTGTCACATACTGTTTTTCACCTACTATATAGTAGGGAAGTATGCGATTTTGGATGTAGCCTTTGAGAAAAGAGTCCAAATTCATATACATAAAACAGTAGACAAAATATACCCGAATGACATGCTACTTCCGGCGAGATTCTGAAGTGTGTATACAATGGACACTTTTACTATCCCATGAGGCCACAGGAAAGGATTTATGAATGACAGTGATCAATGGTAGACCAATGACAACATGACAAATATGTCTGGGGTACCTTCATAATATACACATTCGTACTATATAGAACATACTTTTTTAATGGTCACAAAGTAATTACTTATTCAAAAGAAGTACCTGCTCTGCGATTTCGGGACACAGCCTATGTGAGACTAAGCTTAGTAGTTCACCTAAAAATGAAAATTCTCCCCTTTATTTTATTTATTTGCCCTCGTGCCATTCAAACCCATACCACTTCTGTTTGTCTTGGGAACTTGTTTTTAAAGATTCTCTCATTATTTTTATCCATGCAACTAAAAATTTCACGCTTTAGAAAGCACAAATACATTGTAATAGTAATCCATATGAATTGGTGTGACGTTTAGCTTTTTTCAAGCTGTGTTTAACGGTTAAACTGTTATGAAAGTGAAACGGCTAATCTGTTAAACATGCTAAAACATATATGATGCTCGTGTGTGTGTGTTTACAGGAAGAAGTGGTGGAGATAGAATATGTAGAGAAGTTCACAGCCCCACAGCCAGAGGAGTGTATCATGCACGATGACTGGATCAGCTCGGTGGAGGCAGATTCTGAATGGTGCGCTTCATCCAAAACATTCTAAACAGAAGTCAAAAATGTATTTGCTTGGACAGTTTTGTGGCTGATCTATTCAAGTCGTTCTCTGCTTTGTGCCCAGGATCCTCACAGGCTCTTACGATAAGACTGCACGGATTTGGTCAATGGAAGGGAAAGCTGTGATGACTGTGGCTGGACACACTGATGTTGTGAAGGATGTAGCCTGGGTGAAGAGGGGTAAGAAACGTACAAGTGTTTATTTGATAGATAACCAGTATGAGATGCCTAATATGCATTTATGTGTGAATCTGAGTGTATTTATGTATTGATGTTTAGGAGAACTAATGTTGCATGAGGTTTCTGAATTTGTCCATTTGATGGTTCTGTGGCTTTTAGATGGTCTGAGCTCTTTGCTCCTGACGGCATCTCTTGATCAAACAATCATGTTGTGGGAGTGGAATTCCGAACGGAATAAAGTGAAGGGACGACACTGTTGCCGAGGACACGCAGGAAGTGTAGACACGGTTGCCGTTGACCCCACTAGGACAAAGGTTTGTGTGTGTTCGTTAGTCTTTCTGTCTGTTTGACTTAACTGTATGATGTACATATTTATTTATAAATAAGTACTTTTATTCATTAAATTAATGAATTTTTATTCATAATATGCATTAAATTAATCAGAAGTGACATTAAAGACATTTTATAATGACACAAAAGATTTCAATTTCAAATCGGTTTCTACAAAAATATTAAGCAGCACAACAGTTTTCAACATTGATAATAAGAAATGTTTCTTGAGCACCAAATCAGCATATTAGAATAAT